CCCACACTGCAGAGCCTGGCAAGCTACCCGTGATGTATTTGATATGCCAAACACAGTAACAACAAAGTCTCCAATGGAGACGTTACTGGGCCAGCTCAAGCAAATCAATGAACAATGGGAGGACCGTGACCGTGACTTTACTTATATACTTAAAAGTATATAATGTACTAAATTTAATAGAGTATATCTATACATATATTTTAATAGACTATATCTATACATATATTAAAAATATATACTTTCTACTTAAATAGAAAGTATCACTTGATCACTTGACTTCCCGTTAATCATCGATTTGCTCAAGCGGGCACCAGTACATCTCCATTTGTCCCTGTTGCGTGCTAGTGTATCCCAATGGCGTCTGTTCGTTCTAGGAACACGAAGAGCCTCAAACCGAACGTTCATGGTCTTGATGAAGAAGTCTGACCATCTGGTAGGTGGGTGGCCACGCGGTCTTTTGACATCCCGAGGAATCCAGTCTGTAACGGCTCTAGTCCAGTGGTCGTCTCTAAATCTCATTATGTGACCAGCCCATCTGATTTTTGATGCCTTGGCAAACGAGAGAGCATCCCTGATTCTTGATTGTAGATGGAGGTCGAAACTCCAGATTCTTTCTCTCATTTGAATGAAACGTGATATTCCAAGCATAGCTCTTTCAATTCCTCTTTGGGAGACCTGAATAGCGTTCTCATCCTGTTTACATAGGGCCCAGGTCTTTGAGGCATATGTTAATGCAGGAAGAACAGTGGAATCAAAGAAATGTGCCTGGAACCGGAGGTTCTTTGTCCTATTAGCTATTTCTTTGACGCTCTTGAAGGCGTTCCAAGCCGCTCTTTCCCTCCTGCGCAGCTCTGGTGCCAGTTCATTTGTCATGTTGACTTCTCGACCTAGGTAACTGTTGCATTTGGAGATGGTCGTTCCGTTGAGAGCGAATGGAGCGTCAGGAAAGAGTCTGTTTCTCATAAACATTGTCTTCGTAAGATTCAGCTGTAGTCTGGCCTTTCCACACTCAACGGTCGAAGTCGGCCAGCATTTGTGCCGCTTGGCTAATGTTTGGTGTTATTAAAACAATGTCATCAGCAAAGCAGAGGTGGTGTAGTTGCAGACCATTTATCTTCACTCCCATTCCTTCCCATTCCAGTCGTCACATGATGTTCTCGAGGGTGGCACTGAAAGGCTCGGTGAAATGGTATCACCCTGTCGAACCCCTCTCTTGACATCAATGATTACTCTTTATAGAATGGTGAGATCCTGGTAGCAAATTCGTAATACAGCTCACGGAGGATCTTGATGTATTGAGTTTGAATGCCCTGATTGGCTAGGGCTTCAATGACCGCTTCCGTATCAACAGAATCAAAGACCTTCTTTAAATCATTGAATGTTAGACAGAAAGTAGATAAATTTATATACTTTATTTATATAGAAAGTATATAAATTTATAAGTAAGATTTTTACCAAATGAATTATATGTATTCAGGGCATACATTCAATTTATTGAACACCAGTTTTACTTAAAATACTTTAAAGAAACAAAAATTTAAGTGATTCAGTTTGTGAAGTGTTTCCTTGTAATAATGAGAAAAAAACATATAATTAAGAAAATACTTATGATGTCTTTCAGCAATTTAAAACTTTCAAACAGAAAAAATGTATTCTTTAGAGTTCTCCGAGAATTTTAATAAATTCTCACTGTAAGAAAATAGGAATGATGATTAATTCAAATATAAAGTATCCATTAAATTCTTGTTATATACTGCACTAAATTTGTTGGCAATATTTATAAATACAATGGCTTTTTATTCTCAGGTCATAACATATATATTTCATGTGGAAACTTATAACACACTTATAATCTACGTTGCTTTATAACGGTCACATAATTTGTCATTACTCATTTACTTAGTATCTTCAAATTTTAATCCATTCTTCTTCCATGTAAAATGTCACATGTCCCCATAGTAGAGGTATTTAACTGCTCTCTTTTATATTTTCTTAATAGAATCTGAGTCTTCATTTCATTTAGTAACACAGATCATACTGCAATGGTGGCATAAACTTATATCTAGATTATAATCTAAGATTTCTGAAAAATGTCCTGTAAGCCTAAGTAGATGGATCATAACTCCTGGGTGTGATCATCGTAGATATCATCCTCGAGCATAATCCTTTTTCCTCCTTGATTCTATTTCTCCTTATATTTTAATGTTGTGTTTTCTAGAGCTTCAGTTTCACTTTGAACCATAGAAAAATTTTGAAATATGTCAGAGTTGTTTGAATCAAGATTTAAAGAAGACATATGTCAGATATCGTTTTAATTTTCTTAATTTTATTAAAGAACCATGATAAAGAACAGATAAAGCAAAAGGCAACATGCTTAATACAGTTAAAAATTTAGAATGTTAGTCTCATTTGGGTGAGAAAATTTGTAATTAAGCTAAAACATTCAAGTCAGATGCATCAAAATTATCTTGTCAGGAAATGATGTGCATAGAGGTTATGTTTTGTAAGATATTTTGTAGTGATCATATTGAGCTATCTTGAGTTTAATAGCCACTAAATCACACTACATGATCTGAAGCTCCCCTATTCTTTGCCATTATTTTAAACATACGTTTTTGTTTTTACAATATTGCTTTCTGCATGAAGGTTTTAAAATTATTTATTTAAGTATGTAGGCAAAGATAAAATTTATAATAAAATTTAATTGGCTGAAATTGTTATATTCTCCTTATAAAAGAACTTTTCTCTGAATGTTTTGAAAAGAAGGTAATTTGTTTAAATGTCTCAGTGTATGACCTTAAGCCCAAAAGTTCTTAAGACAAATACTTAAGATATGCACATGGCTTATAAGTGCAATGGCATTTTCAACATTAACATAAAAATTGACCTTTGGAATGAGGTATTTTTCCATATTAGATTTCTTTTTCTTTCTGCTTACAGTTCAGAGGAATATTTGGGACATAAATTTAAGGAATATAGCAGCTGAAAGATTGGAGAAGAATCCCTAATAGCAAACTTTATCAAAGTATAGCTCAATTAAATTGTAACCTTTTCAAGTCTTAAAAGACATGAAGTACTTGTATTATTGCCTTAACCAATTTAAGTGGGATTCTTAAATATGCAAAGATAAACAATGCAAAAACACAATAACAGGGCTAAAGTAAAGCACAGCTCTTTTATTTAGCATATTGTAGATATAACCACGTTTCAGTTTTTTAATTCAACAATAACAAATAATGTATCTTCCAGTTTATAATAAAGCTATTTCAAAGTGGAAAAAATTTATTAAACCTTGATTTCTAAGAATGCTTAATTAATATGACAGATGTGATTCAGCCATTCCACTAAAATATTAATGACTGGCTTAATCCATAGCTTTGATAATAAACTCCTATAATGTGAGCACAGGAAGATAGAATTAAATGGAATATTGATTTTTAAACAAATGTGACCCAAAAAATTGCTCTTTAGTTATATAATTTTTGATTCAAAAATTTAAATCTATAAGGCAAAATTTTTTTATGAAATTAAAATTTTAGAAAGTTTTGCTTGAAGGATGACAAATTTCTCAATTCACATAGACTAGAAATTATTTTCAGTAGTACATATATTAATTTTAAGTGTTTTAGCTGAAATAGCATACAAAATATTAAGTTTATAAAATCTTTTAGAATTCCATTTTAGAATTTCACACATTTAGTATAAAATAGATTTAGTATCATAATTGTAAGAATCAACAAACTTTAGGTAAATTGAAGAGTTTAAAATGAATATTTAGTTATGCAGTATGTTAATTTTCTTGTATAATTAGAAGAAAACTAAATATTGGCTTAGGTCATTGATATTAGACAGGAATGTGCATCAAATTCTTAGGTTTCTTTACATCCATATTATAGATTAGTATAAAGAAGTCTATATTATAGTCTATACTATTAGGGCTGGAGCCATAGCACAGCAGGTAGGGCGTTCGCCTTACAAGCGGCCAACATGGCCGACCCGAGTTCGATTCCTCCGCCCCTCTCGGAGAGCCCGGCAAGCTACCGAGAGTATTCGATATGCCAGACACAGTAACAACAAAGTCTCCAATAGAGACGTTACTGGGCCCGCCCGCTTGAGCAAATTGACGATCAACGGGAGGGCCTTTATTATTAGGTTGGGGAGAAGGACCTGAAGGTTGATAAATTATAGATGTCAAACTTGAGTCTACATTATTAGGTGTGGGGTAGGACCTGAAGATTTACATTTCTAACAAGCTCTCAGTAGAGGTCGATGCAGTCAATATCAAGAAAACCACAGTGAAAACAACTTGATTCTCTCTCTCTCTCTATCTCTCTCTCTCTCTTTCTCTCTCTCTCTCCCTCTTTCTCCCTCTCTCTTTATGGCAAAGAGAGTAAATGTGCAAATGTGTTTTACAAGAGTTTATATAAAAGAATGACTCTTATTGTCTATTAATTTCATTATTGTTTTTTGGATGTGAGAGCGATCTGGCTGTGACATCCGTCACCCCATTGATCGCCAGGGTTGATTCGGCTGATCTGGCTGGCTAGGCGGGTGTCCCCTTCCTCCCTCACCGCTCCATGTGCGTCCCTCCCGAAGCTGCCCGCTCAGTCGAAGAGGACGGCCTTCCCCGATAGAGACGGACCGGTCTTCGGTCAATGGTATACGAGTAGCTGCACTCCCCTGCTAGAAACTCCAAACATTGTTTTTTTGAGGCCATAGTCAGCTGTGCCAGGTATCAACTCCTGGAAGTGGACAGATGACCCTGTTGAGTGCCAGGAATCAAACGTGGAGTGGCTGCAACAACCATTCAAGCTCCCTACCTGTTCTATCCCTCCTGCCCCAAATATGAATATGAATTTAAAAGCATTTCAAAAGTGGACATTAAAGGAGAAGAAAAGTTTTTCTGTTCACAGTCTTATACTCCTGAATTTTTAATCTCTGAATATTAATTGCAATAAAATACAAGTTTTATCTTCTAAATAATTTATCTTCTTTACTGCTTAGATCGGCACGTGATGTGACTGATAAGTGTCACAGGATGAATGGAAAGCAGATGGTGGAGTTTGCTGCTGCTCACTGGCAAAATTAATAAATACCTGAAAGAAAAATTAAATTTAAGTTAAGAACATTCAAACTTTCTACTCTACAATTGGGGGTGGGTGGGTTAAGAGTGCACCAAGAATGGATAGTTTTTAAAAATCAAATGACTTAATTATGTAAATGGTGACCTTAAAAACTAATATGGCTATTTTAAAAATCAGTTATGACAGTCAGATCTCCAAGATATAACATGTACAACCTAATAAATAATTTAAAACAATATACCTGTTCCAAAGTGGTTTGATTAATGGAGTAATATTTGATACTCAAGGAGGTCTTATTTGTCTCAAGGACTTTGAATAGATCAGCTAAGCACGCCCATCTTTTTGGCACATGATATTCCAATAAATTAAGACGCTGCCCCTAGGAAAAAAATGTAAATGTATCACATAATTGTCAACTATTACAAATAAATGATGATATATTTTATTGCTTCATAAATTATTTTCAAATGCATACTTAAATCTCAAATAGGTGTGAAGCCATCTTTGTGAGTTGCTAAGTAAGTAATAGTTACGACTATTTACATTTAGGAATGATTAATAGAAATTATTCCCTAAGTGAGATACTGAACAGGAACTATTCCCTATGTGAGTTATTGCTCCTCACATATGTGTTCCCTCCTTTCCATAGAACAAGACAAAATAACAAGGTAAAGTAACACCTAAGGTTAGGTAAAATATAAGAAGTTAATGTGGAAGAGCAGCAATTTGGAAAAGAATTCTGAAGTTCACACTTGGTATTGGCTTGGCTCCCAACTGCTTACACTGTAAAATGAACAACTCTTGGTAATATAGTTAATACTGAGGCTCATTTTTATCTGTCTAAATATGGAGATTAGTTATTCTTTATAATGTCTTTGAGCACAGATGCCAGGATACTGCATAGAATGAATCTTCTACCAAGCAGTAATTTACTCAGTGATGTTGAAATGAACAGAAAATAGCCACTTTAGGAATTATATCATCATTATGATGAACTAGAGTCACAACTTATCCAAGAGAATCATACTGGTACTTCTTAATGTTCGGATGCACAGGGATCACCTGGTTATCTAGAAGGTTGGAGGTTGGGACATAAAATTCTATGGGTCTAAGCAACTCATACATTATGAAGAGGTTACTGGTGTAGAGCCGTAACCTGTTTTCAGAGGATTGTGACACATTCACATGGGACTTCCTGTGAAATAAGACTGAAATCACCAAGCTATAATTCTACCCACAGCAAACACATAGAAGAAATTATTTTACAGTAGTCTACCCTGAACAAAAAAAACTGGGTATGTAGTTCGGCCTACAGAGAAAGGAGGTGCACAATAATGGCCTGTTCTGGAGGCCCAGCAGCGGTTAGGCCAGCCACCCATCACAGTACTCAATGTCACTGACCATGCTTGTGTTTTATAAGATGATTCCTCCTATATTTTGTAAGGTGATAATGCAACAAGCAACATTTCATGACAGCATCTAATTCTAGCAGAAAACAAGTGCATTTTTAAGATATTATGGTGGTGGGGGTGCAAAGCAGTGCAAAATTGTGAGGCAAAGAGCCCTATAAATTGTACTATGGGCTATATTTAATGAAACAGAAACAGCAAAAGGTTTGCATGAGAGGTCCTGCAGGGTTCTCTTGAACAAAGAATCATAATTCAGGGGGCTGGAAATCTCTCAAGTACAGACAAAATCTGAGAGAAAAACTGGTGGAATCCAAGTTGGAATGCAGAAAACTGCAACAAACCAACAGAAGGTGGAAGTAATATTGAAAAGAAATGAACACCAGATTATAAAACTAAGGGTTAAATTCAAGAAGAATTGTTTAAGTCTCAGAGAAACAAGAAGGAGAATTTAATGAAGAATTGGTATTCCAAGAAATAATATAGAATATTTTCCCAGAGTTGAGGAGTACATGCACCCAGAGCTAAGCGGCCAAAAGGATCCCAGTCAAAATGGATCCAAGTAGGAATAAATCCAAGACATATTATAATAACAAATGACAAAGGCCAGGATGTTCGTACTTATATTAAACAACATAGAATTTGTCAAAAAAAAGGTCATGAGGGACAGATATGGCCTCTTACTAATAACCAAGAGATAAATCAAGAAGAACTCATATTTCTTAATTTATATCCTCCAATGATGGTCAACTAAAATAATTTAAAACAGCTGCTAATAGACATGAAAGAGGACATTGATGTTGACTCAATAAATATAGAAGTCTTAAGTACACTTTTCTCACTTCTGGATAGATCATCTATGTAAAACTTCAACAAAGAAATAATGATCCTGTAGAATAAATAGGATACATGGGCCTAGTAGACAGAGACGCAGATAGGGCTGTGTCATCCATCCCCAAAAGGTGAGTTCATATTCTCTCAAAAATGCACGTGGGACATTATACCATCTGTCCTCTCAAATCATGAGACTTTAAAAATAGTAATTAACCATAAACAGAAATCTGTGAAGAACTCAAACATTTGGAAATTTAAAAACTCACTAGAAAACAAATAGTAGGTCAAAGGGGAAACCTGAAAAGAAATCAAAAGATTCACAGGAATTCTTGTCTCCAGGATTGATCCCTGAGTGCAGAGTCAGTAGTAATCCCTGAGTACAGTCATTTGCAGCTCCAAAACAAACCAAAAACAAAGAAAAGTGGTAAACTGAATCAGAAATTAAAATGGAGACATTACAAGTAATAACAAATATATAAGGACAGTCGGGATTATTTTGAAAATATTGACTTTGAAAATATTCAGTTTGAAAACCAAAGGTCTAGAATAAATGGGTATGTTTTTGAATCCTTATAACTTCTGAAAATTTAAACTAGAGAATAAAGAAAAGTCAAAGAAGAAGTGAGGAAGAAGGGAAATTAAAACAGTAATCAAAAGTCTCCCCAAAACAAAAGTTCAGGCCCAGTCAGGTTAATTAGTGAGTTTTTAATATTAATGAACTCTATTCAAAAATATACAAAAAATAAAATAAAATGCATGGATGGATATGGAGAATATCATGGTAAGTGAAATGAGTCAGACAGAGAGGGACATAGAATGATTCTACTCATTTATTGGATATAAAAATAGTATGTGAACAATACCTAAAGTCATAGAAACAATGATCAAGAGAACTGATACCTGATAGGCAGCTTACCACAAAGGAGGGGGAATGTGTTTAGGACAGAGAATGGACCAATATCACAATTGATAGTTGGAGATGATCACTCTGGACAAAAACTCAGTGCTGAAAGGAGGTAAAGTAATATGCATGATATTACTTTCAGTAACAGTATTGCAAACCCCAGAGCCTAAAAGGAAAACAGAGAGAAGAAAAGTGTCTGCTATAGAGGCAAGCTGTTGGACCCTGTTGGGGGAGCTGGACCAGAGGGAAACTGGGGACTCTGGTGGCAGGAAATAGGCTCTGGTGAAGAAATGGGTGTTTGAACATTGTATGACTGAAACTCGACCATGAACAAATTTTCAGTTGTGTATCTCACAGTTATTCAATTTTAAAAAACATAAATCAAGGCATCTTGATAAAATTTGGGAGAATTCTGAGGAAATATTCTTTCTTACCTACAAACAAAGAAGTTTGAAATATTAGCAAATTAGCTTACCTTAAACTGGATTCCTGGAAAATGTAGCTTCAAGCAGTCAGAAACATTGCTATGTTGATCTGTGTCTTTACTGAGCCAAACTCGAACTATAAAACCATCACCAAACCTGATATATGAATGAAATAAAATACGGTTACTTAATTATAGGAACCTTATACCAGGACAATCTAAGTTTGTTTTCTCACACATAGTAAAGAATTCCAAATTGTTGGGATAATTTGAGTTCTCAATATACTTGAAGGAAATTATAACTTAGCTGATGAGTTGATAATAATTTATATTGACAAATGACTTATCTTAAAAAAATAATGAGCAAATCCTTATCAATACCTAGTTACAGAAGGAGGGATGGTGAAGAAAAGCAGTACTGAATTAAAGAAAACCAAAAGCAGATTAGAATCTGACCCTAAGAAACATTATAACTTCAGTGTCTCTAAAGAATAAAATGTGACCATGAAGAGATTTAAGTAGTGCACATGTTGTTAATTGACTCAGTTATTTATCAGATAAAATAATCTACTTCCTATTTTTATTATTTTTGATAAATAGTTATTTGCAGTAACAACAAATTTCACAATGTTACTGGGCCAGCTCGAGCAAATCGATGAAAAACAGGAGGACAGTGACAGTTATTTGCACTGTAGCACTGTCCTCCCCTTGTTCATTGATTTGCTCGAGCAGGCATTAGTAATGTCTCCATTGTGAGACTTGTTGTTACTGTTTTTGGCATATCGTATAGGCAACGGGGAGCTTGTCAGTCTGCCGTATGGGCGGAATACTCTCGGTAGCCAGGGAATCAAACCGGGTCGGCCATGTGCAAGGCCAATGCCCTACCCACTGTACTATCTTTCCAGCCCAGGGCTCTCTGTACGGCAGGAAATTCTCCAAACAGGATCCAGGCCAGCAGGGAACAAGGACCTGGGGAGGCAATGGGGAGGGGTGGGGACTGTAGCAAAGCAGAGTGTCCAGGCCCCAGGAAAGGAACTCCTGGTAAGGGGGGGGCTGCAGGCCTGGTCTAAGCAAAGTGTCAGGCTTTTGTTTTGTTTTAAAGGAGTCTGGGAATCTAGATTTTTGTGTGAAATCACCTCATCTTTTTTTTCTAACAATGATTACTGCACCTTCAATGCCTCTTGCTGGCCTCATGGGAGGCTGGAAGACTGGAGGGCTCATGGAGGTAGGGTCCCTGGTGCAAGTCAGGGACAGGCTTTTCATACCACCTCACCACAGCCCCTCCATTTTACCGATGTGACAGTTATTTGAAGACCTGGTATATATAGGAAAACATTTCCTCTTATTTTAAACACTGATCACTAGTAAATAGGTTATCATTATTATGTAGTTGAGATTCATGATTACAATAGTTTTACTATTTATATTTTTGTTAATAAAATGCACTGCACTTCACCACGACCCAAATACCAAGGACCCTTCACTGCCATCCTGATGTCACTTCTAGTACACCTCTTCCTTCCCCTCCAATGCCCTTCCTACAATAGTTAGTAATCCTAGATTTATAATTTTTCACCAGAATTTGTTATAACTATATAATGTCTATTACATTAATTTATTTATATACCACATATGAGTGAAGAGATGATTTGATATCTGTCCTTCTTCCTCTGATTCATTTAACTTAAATGACATACTCTAGTTACATTCACATTGCAGTAAAATTCAATATTGCAGATTTTCTTATAGTTGTTGTTTTAACAATTTCTGTATTCACTCATCTGTCACTGGACATTTGAGTTGTTGCCATATCTTAGATATGGTGCATAGCACTGCAGTGGTCATACGGAAATATACGTCGGTTTATCATATTTCTTTTTGTTTGTTTGTGTTTTTTTATGTAATGTATTTCACAATTTCTATTTTTATTGTTTTGTACTTTCCACTCTACCACTCCATCACCTGCACCACCAGAGTGTCAGCAATTCTTCAATACTATACTTCCACTTTGCAAACTCAGTTCACTGTTCTTTTGGCACTCTCTCCAGGCTTCTTACAATTGGGGATTGTCTAACCCATTACTTTGTTTATTTTTGTTCCACATATGAGTAAGATAATTTGGGGTTTTTGTCTATTTCCTTCCAATTCACTTTTATTAGCAAGCATGCTCTAGTTCCATCCAGGTTGCATCAAACTGCATGATTTCATATTTGCTCATTACTGAGTAGGGAATATAATGCCTCCCATCATTTATTTCTCAGGCTTGTTTATCTAGTTTAGTAATTTTATGGTTCCACAAAAATTTTAGAAAATTTTTCTCAAAGTCCTCGAAGTACTCCATTGAAATTTTTAGGAGCATTGCCCTGAATTTATATAATGCTTTAGTAAAATTTCCATTTTAATTATAATCTATCTTGGTGTTTCTCTAATTGGGTTTATTACATAGAATTCTGTGAATCCAGAATTTATGTGTATGGATTGATATTCAAGTTGGTGAAGTTCCCACCCACAATTTTACTCACCATGTCTTACTCTCCAGTTTTTCCTTTTACCTTATATTTGGATATATACAATTTGTACATCATTGCTCTTATTACAGACCCATAGATCTGTAACATTTTATTTTTCATCTTTTCTCTTTGAATAATTTCCAGTAACTTGTTCTCCTTGTAATTGTCCTCTAGCACATTTATTCAATTCATTACTTTTTACTAATCTGCTGTTCATCTCTGTTCTGGTTAGATCTCCTGCTCAGCTTATCCTTTCCATGACTTTATTTGTTGTTTGTACTGCTTTATTGCTTGTTGTCTGGGAAGCACACCTGAAAGTACTCAAGGCCTACAATTCCTGAATTTTGTTCTCAGGAGTTAATCTTGGCAATGCTGAAGGATGTGGGGGAACTTAGATTCCCTACATGCAGAGCATGAACTCAGTCTATTAAGTTATCTTTCCTGCTCCAGTTAGGTGACTTAAGGGAAATTTTATTTTATACTTGCTGTATTTATCCTCTACTGATTTCTTCAATTCATGAACAGACTTTAAATTCCTTATCAGAGAGAGGATTAATATCTCTTTTGTGCTTTGGGAAATTCCTATGCTTCTTTTTTTTTCTTTTTGGGTCACACCTGGCGAAGCACAAGGGGTTCCTCCTAGCTTATGCACTCAGGAATTACTCCTGGCAGTGCTCTGGGGACCATTTGAGATGCTGGGAATTGAACTCGGGTCAGCCCAAGCAAACACCCTACCTGCTGTGTTATCGCTCCAGCCCAAATTCCTATGCTTCTTCACTGTGCTTCTATAAGGATAGTGGCAAGAGTCTAATTTTATGCTAGTTCAAGTGATGATGTGTGGATCCTATTTGTTAATTCACATCTGGAATAAGACTTATGCTGAAGTTTTGCCATCTCAATTTTACTGGTTCCATCAGACCCTTCTGTTGGCATTTTGGGCCACTGCTCTCTACTTTTTGATATTAGGTGAGATATTGAAAGTGTTATTACATAAGTGATATTACATAAGCATATGCATGTGACTGAATGGACAGGGAGGTAAGCATAAAACAACTCTCTTAATTGTTCTTCAACACAGCAAGTGTGTAGGTAACTGCAACAAAAGTTATCAGCCCAAGGGGAAGTTTTCCTGTCATTGTAGTGATACAGAAAATGACATTGGTAGGATGTAACCAATTTCAAAAAAATATATTCATACCATATATTCATACCATAATATATTTATACCATAGACATTTTAAACAATAATCTATATTTATCAATCTTTAGCCATATTTCTGGTGCTTCCCATGGTTATAGACAGGTAATGACAGATCAGTAAAGATTTGTTAAATATAAAGCAAAACATAAACGTATCTGAATTGTTTTTCAGTCTGTTTTACTGATTTATCTATTCCAAAACCTAGCACAGTGCTGCAACTGATAATTAATTTAATGAATTAATGATTGGCTGGAGGGATAGCACAGTGAATAGGGTGTTTGCCAGGCAACCCAGGTTCTATTCATTTGTCCTTCTCAGAGAGCTCGGCAAGCTATCAAGAGTATCCCGCCCGCACAGCAGAGCCTGGCAAGCTCCCCGTGGCATATTCGATATGCCAAAAACAGTAACAACAAGTCTCACTATGGAGACTTTATTGGGCCCGCTGGAGCAAAATGATGAACAGCAGGAGGACAGTGCTACAGTGCTACAATGATTGAATACAAGCATACATTTTTATAAAACTTGGGAAATATATAACTCTTCCATAAATTTTCTAAAAACAAATGTAACCCTTGTCTGTTTAATTTGATTCACTTTTCAGAGGTATCTATCTTAAAAAGATGGTTCAAAATAATTTAACTTTGTTTCAGTAATTGGATAACCTTCATGAGCAACCTTCAAAATCCTAGTCCCTATTGATTTTCTTGCCTCCTGCTCGGTATGAAATTTCCCTTGAAGTGTATGTCCCTAGCAGAAACCCATCATTTCCAGTTGGTCATTTATAATAAATTTAATAAATTTATGGTTGATAGGTTGTTGAGACTATTGATAGAATACAAATGAAATCATACATGAAAACACTTTATTAGCTCTTTAGGTATTGAATATTACAACTTGGGTCAGCTATATATATTACAGCTGACTCTCCTTTGCTAGTTAGTATGAATCAGAAGCTGTACTTATGTGGGTCATCTGATGTATTCTCAAAGATCTGAGTATTTCTCAGAGAGTTGGACAGGTGTCTTAAAGGTGACATACATGCTGCAGAGTTCTTTTTTATTTTTTGCAAGGATTAGAGCAGGAGGAGTTTTTAAGACTGTATATATGATTGTGATCTAGTAGTATTAGATTTCTGATGACAAGTTAGTATAGTATAGTACTGCTGACATTGAATCTTAATGGACATACTGAGATTAAATCCGGCTCTAAAACCCTGTACTAGATATATGACTTAAAAAATTCAACTTTTCTAGCCTCTGTTATATCACCCAAAAAATGAAGCAATCATACTATTTGATAAGTCTATGAGATAAGACTATGAGAGGATTGATTAATCAATTATTAATTAATCAACTAAAATAATTCTGCATGGTTTAACATATATAACTAAATAATTCTGCATGGTTTAACATATATAACTATAAATTAACTCTGAATGGTTTCTGG